ATTCAATGATGGCGTAGTTTGGCTTCCGGTTGTAACCGATAAGGTGAAGCTCATATGTGGGATTATTCGGTCTAAATATCTAAGAAGGTTTTTTCAAAAAAATGATGGTGAACAAATTGATGTTGCTAAAACATTTGACGGTACATACGTTTTATTTTACAATAAGCTTTCCGAAAATATATAGTTTTGTGGACAAGGGAGGTCATCTTGGTTTCCTAATTAACTAATTAAAATACCTGCCAGGTAAATTGCATCTCTACCTTAATTGAATTAGCAACGTGTACAGAAGGCACACACTGTGTTCTGGCCGAGCCTCAGAGTGCTCTGGCAATACATTACTCACCCAATCTTTTTGATAAATAACTAATCAGTTAATTATGAAATATTACAGGTTACACTCAAATGGGCTGGTCACTTCTTTAATGCGTTTCATCGGGACAACAAAATACTGAACGCTATCAAAGACACAGATCCACCCATGGTTCCTGCATTCGACGACGTCACAGGTCAACCGAGCACGTCACGATCACGCGAAGCTATACCCAATGTAGACGGCATCGTGAGATTCAAGTTTGACTACGCTGGTCCCGACTCTGGCAAGACGGTGCCAACCCAGTGGATTGAGGTCGACGCACCACTGGTGAGGACACTGTTTTTATGAGAGTATTTTTATGAATTGAGCTATTTTACTAGTTTACATCAGCTATTCATTCAATCAATGCCACGTTTCTGAGTTGTGTTTTGTACTTGTAGGTTGCGTTTTGGGTCGTTTTCTTGGAATTTTCCATTTTTTTACTATATTACTAAACAGTCTTTAAGAGCGGTGGTCTTCGCGTCACGCATGCTCGAGATATGGGACTCGTATACACAAAGATGACGATTCCACGTTTGAGCAGACTAACAAGTACAAACTGATACATTACTAAGCTTTAACTATGTAATTTAGTTAGCGAACGGGAGGTTTCCAGATCAAAACTCGGGATATCATTAGAATACGAAATGGACTCAGGGAAAATTTTCATTCATCAACACAAATGACCACTGTCCTTTAACTTAGGTATTTAACTTGGATATTTGAGTGACGTAGTATCTAGTATCTCGCAGTACAGTGTCTCTCTATGCATATTAATGTGTTGAATGTAAATACAAATGCATTGAATGCTATATACCCCATTGTATCTACAGGCAGAGAAAGAAATATCAATATCCGCCTCTAGTGGGCAAAAGATAACGGTCTGGATGAAAGCTTATGACGTAATGGGGAACGAACAAGAGGATAAAGCTTACATATATGTGGACGAAACTCCCCCAGACGCAGAATTCAAAATGGTTGACAGCGACGGCAATGATATGTCAATGGATGGTACCATCATGGACTTTGACAATAACCAGTAAGATTTTGTGAATATGACATACATTTAGTGTGCTGCATAGTCTGTATCATACAAAAATCTCGAACACTTATCTTTGTGAGCATTTTTATGCTATTTAAAAATATGATAATATACAATTGTATTGGTATGGCATATCAGACTGTTCACATCGAACAGAACGCATCGCGACGATCACCGTTGCTCAAGTTCAGGCGTATTTATTTATTAATTCACCGCAAATACTTGATGGCGAAAAGGTGATGTGAATGAGTAAAAGGAAGGTCGGCACACCGTCACTAATGTTTAAAAAATTGTAGTCCTTTAAGATTTAACATATTTTTAATGCTGAATATCAACACAACGGGAAACAAATTATTGCTGTGAATGACACTACTTACACATCCCATGTAATATAAGCGTTTGGGCGGCAGAGGGCGCAACTTTAAAAACATGTTTATTATACGCTGCGTTGTTTTTTCTCTCAAATAAAGAATCATGATGCAGGTCAGTGACGAGGAAAGTGGTATTCACAAAATTACGTGGGAAATACGTGATGCAGAAACCGGGACTATTATTTATGCTGAAGGAGAGGTTACTGAGAATAAACCGTCGGTAAGTACCTAACGGAGGCAAGTAGCTTACTGAGTAAAGCAAATAGGTATTTCCATTCAATTATACTCAATTTCAACAATCACTTTCAACATCAAAGTTCTAATTTCACGTGAATAAACAAGGTACTCCGTCCTTGAATTTATAATTTGAAACACATATAAGCATGATATTGCGTTGGGTTTAAAAATCAATCAATCCGGTAATTCTGAAGGGTGTTGTAACTGTGTTTTTCCAGGACGGAAATTGTCCTACCTCTGAATGCGAGTGTTTGGACATAGCTGATATATGTTACTATAGTGTTTACATCATCAGTACTGAGAGTGCTACCATGATGGAAATGCCCGACGGCGACGTTGAATGTGTGATGAAAATAATTGTATACAATAATGCTATGATTGAAACACCAATGGAAATGACGGTAAGTAAGTACGTCGCAACGATTTTAAAACATTGCACCTCAATTCTGGCAAACACGCTTTTTTTAGCTGCAAAGGAGAAATATTTTGAAAAAGTTAAAATTGTAACTTAAACTGATATTGCAAATTTAGTGAGATGAAACTGTTATATTTATAATTGAAACATATATTTGACAAAATATTTATTGCACATACAGACAGAATGAATATTCAGCAGTTTGTTTTTTGTCCAATCGCTTATTAACGCACTGTGACAGTTATTATTTTCTATCTTCATTCCGTTCAAAGTTAATGGCTCGCGCTCCAAGCAAACGTGTCGGTGGCAGTGGAGGCGGGAGTGCTGGTGCCGTCGCTGGGGGCGTTATTGTCGTTATTATTATCATACTTATCATTGTTGCCGTTATAATTCTGTGGCGAAAAAACATGCTACCTAAGGTACGAGACGGAATGTTTATAAATCCTCAAATCATTATATTGATTACATTTACATAATATTTCTTGATTATTAATTAATTTGTGGTATTTTACATAGATCATTTCACATACTGAGTCAATGTTGTGCATATTTTGATCTGTCTTGTCGATTTTTTTCACAGTTTTTCAATAGAGGCCCACCTATTACCAGAGCATCAGATTGGAGTGCATCAGCACAGGTGAATAGCGTTGCACATACTTGTCACATTGACATGAACATTTACACTGAGAAAATCTTACATGGGCGCTGGATTTAGCATATTTACTTATAACATAACTGTACTTAATAGAAACCTTGTAATCTATGTAGGTCTATATACTAACGATGTATCTTCTGTAATTTTATGATTATGCGTATATTCTTTGGAACCGTAACTTACCGAGAAAATTTATTATTATTAAAAAATAGTTTGACGGGTCGCTAATATCCCAAATTGAAAGAAAGCATGGTAGTTGAGGGAAAATAATATCAGGAAACGGTCAAAAGATCTCCTTCTCTAGTCAATTATTATTGGTTCTTTCAACTTGACTTCTTTTCTTATTAAATCGTATTTTGGGATGAATTATTGTTACTGTCATATAATGTTATCCGAGAGTTGTGGAATATATATGTGTTTCTTAGCAAATCCCGAATTGGCTACAAAGCGTTGTGTCAATAATT